AAATCGTGTGTTGCCGTTGTTAATCTCTCGATCGCCTTGCAAACAACAACAAAAGAAGGTTAAATGAAAATAAATAGCAATAAAAATTTGCGAAAAAATCATACGTTCGGGCAAGTGGCTTCCACGCCAACCGTCCGTTGCAGCCTGTCCGGCGAATTGTCAGAACTACAGGCTGCCGCCACTTTCGTTGCTCCCGCTGCCACTGAAATTGCCCACGATTGTTGTTGTTGTTGTTGTGTCTTTCGTATTCGGTTTTTTTGTTGTTCGACTTCAAGTAGACTGCTCAGTCACTAGTTGAGTTGACGTTTTACGCTTTGCACATAACACCAAATAAATTTCATTGAACCTCTACATTGCTATGTGTGCCCCTCTGCTTTGCTTTTGAATCATTTCCATCGGTTTCAATTGCTTTACTCGGTTGTTCACTAAAGTATTTACCCTTCATTCTTGGCTTTCTTGCATTTCTTGTATGATCTGCAAATTTTTGGTCTGGTCGTGGAAACTTCGGTGGACCTTTTTTCTTTCATTCTGTATGTCTTTCTATTTTAGCTCCTCTTTTTTACTACGTAAAATACACGGCTATTGTTGTTGCAGCGTCCGACTCACGTACAAGCAACTAACATGTTTCAAAATCCACCGACCACCAACTCTTTAGAACCGACACATTTAACGACGCGCCGCCTTCGCCTCTCAATCGTRATACCAAAGAGCAAAGGCTCTAACGTAAAGTGTTTCAGTTGTCTGCTCGACAAAGCACACAACATGTGTTGTGAGAACTCTAGTTACCRGCAAAACCAAATATTATATTTAAGCCATTTTCTGACAAGTGTAAAGTTTAGCTTTGGTTTTGTATAATTTTATTTRATTCATATATTTCTCTTGAAGTCCGGATCTCACGAAGTCACATATCCATTTCTTTGCAAAGTTTTTAAGACCATATATAGGATTTGAAGATCCGTTCTGCATAATCAGGAGCAGATTGCTTGGACTTTCGTAGTTTTTAGCTTTCTTAAACACAAGAAACTGTTGGGCACTCTACTAAAGTTTGGAGTGAATGATACCTAAGACAAGAACCATATATTAATCCTACAGACTCAACACAGGGTTTACAGCCTTTGAACTGTATGAGTTTTACGATCTTAAGTGTAATATGGAAAAATGTCCTCGGAAGCCGAAGATAGGAAATATAAGTAATAACCTGGATCACACGAAGCCAAACGAGCTCTGATAATGAAATATGATCATCTATAACAATTTCTTTGAACATTCCTTAAGACCATATAGGTTTTGATCGGATCTTTTGCATAACTATTGTTAGACCTTGAGCTTATGGTATAATCCAATATAATATGGTAAATGTCTGAAATCTACAATATAATTTTCCTGATGATTTTTTCTGTTAAGTGGAATGTAGTCTGATCACAATTTGTCAACTTTATATTATACCGAAAATATACCGTTACCATACCAATTGTTGCAGCGGTATTACCGAAGATATTCTTGATATTTCTTAAATTAGTAGGTCAGTTCCTCACTAAATTGCGCTCAAACAAAAATTCGGCATTTAAAAATCCATTCTTAGACATACTTAAACATCAGTTGGTCGAACACTTTTGGTTATATAAGTAACAACTCCCGCAATTACGCAATTATCGAATCACCAAAGTGATTTCTGTACAAAAAAGCTTAATGGGCATGCATTCATAGCCAATATGCATTTCTCATCACTACCATAATTGTGCTCAATTAACATACATAGATCGTCAGCTAGTGGCACCATCTACACCATAACGGAGTGACATCTTAATCCCCTATATCGCTAACAACTAAGTAACTAACTAATCCAACGATCCGTCGCGCGCGCAATACGCCAAGTCATTACTAAGCCATTACCACCTGCATATGTCACTCAACGGCTCAACACCAGCCGAAAATGGTGTGTCTAGCCTCCTTTCTGTCGCAAAGATTTGGTGTCAATTGCCACCAGCTCACTTACATACGCGATGTCCRCAAAACAGCGGCTCGCTGGCTRGCCGGTCATTCGCTGATGGGCTCTGCGCCGAATATGGCGAAACGTTTCAATTTACGCGCCAAGCGCGTAACCGTTTTTGGCGATCATCAGATCGTCAGTTCAAGTGTGAAACGTTGGTGCGGCACCGTCATCGTCACCGCCGATTTCACGCATTTATCGTGACAATCGCTACGGGTGAGACGCCGTAAAATTGCCTGCTGGGGCAAGGCGATTGCGTTGCGCCCATGGATTTGYTGCCTATTTTCCACCATTTTGTTGTTGTTGCAAYTCGCGTKGTTTTTGTGTCTCCTGTATGCCAAACGGACGTATGAAAGTATTGTTGACAGATTACCCAGAGGGTTAAGTGTTGCAGGCATTCATCCAGAGACATATGGACACACGCTGTGCTGCTGTGATAYATTGCTGTGAGGTTTAAAAGTTCAGTTGCGGCAGGTGGACAATTTCAAAAGTTTTAATTATTAACAAATTCATTTTAGATAGTACGTGTAATTAGCGCTAAATTTTTAGTTTTTTTTTCTCGAATCATCGAACCATTATTTTAGTATTAAATTCATTATAAAATAGCAAATTAGACTGATTATAGATGAAGACTGTCAAAAAACACCAACCCCGTCAACCTTATTGTAAACCCAACATAAAAAAAAAAAAAAAATTATTTGACTTTTCTACGATACCATAAAAAGAAGAGAAAATTCTACTTTAACTAAAGCTCTCCGATGGCATAGTTTAGACTCTCTAGTACACCTGCTTGATAAGGCTCTATATAACCTCACTTGTCATTCCTTAATCCGCTCAACACCATGTATATAGAGTTGCTTCATGGAGCGATGTACTCTCATGTATATATGGCATATGCACACCCAGAGATTTTTCTTTTTTTCTAGGAGTGTTTGGTTACACAACACACCTTTCGCATTTCATTTCGAATTTAAGGAGCTGCTCAAAACAAAATATACATAACACATGTTACAAGATACACCGAACTCTCTGTCAAAATTTGGGATTTTCACTTGTCAGTATGGACGCGTGTGTCCGGCATTTGCGTTAACTCCAAAGCGCCGCGCATGGTGTGTGTCTATAAAGGCACTAAATCAAAGCTTGACAAATTTGTATGACAGAGGTGTTTTAATTTTATTAATATTTTGACATTTTCAAATGTCAATCTTATAAATATGTATCGTAACACCGACATACCTGTAGCTGCGAATAACTCGCCAATGTCGATGTCGAAACAGCTATGCAATGGCGTCCCCATTACGGCCCTAGGAAGTAACCGACCGTGGCCTTATATGAAAACTTCGTGGGTTGCTGTCAACGCTGCTTGCACTAGTTCGATTAGTCGTTATTCGTTTGATGCACTTTATTTGTGCATTAGGGTTGTCGTTAATTAAAAAACAATATATATGTTGAGAAAAGTTATTACATAATATATAGAAACATATAGTATATATGTATATATACACTGAACCCTCTTCGAGGATGTAGAGATTGGCTGGAAATGTTATAGTTAGGAGGTATCTAGCCAAGATCGGATTTTATAGTTGTATGAGAGGTATAAGCTGCGCTACAAACGTGTGTCTATAAATGCTATTAAATAATTCGGGATCCATCGTCATGCACTGAGGTCGGCTGTTAATAGGGACAAATCAAAATGACTGCAAGGAAAGACTAGAAATGGTTCCAATTTTGTAAAGCAGCTATAGCCAAAAGTTAGGGAGGTATACTCAGTGCCGGGTTAGTACCGGTTGGCAGAAAGCACTTTCAACCCAGATGAAACGATTCTGGAAACGAAAACCGTGAAAATGAGTAAATACTCTCGATTACCCCATAGCTAAAAGGGTCACGATGCATATTTGCTGTTATAACTACGAAATCCATCGAACGAAGTGGTGGCGGGTAGATCACCAACATTGAAGATGGGTCGAGTAAGATCCCATGGCATCCTCGAGCGATGTGGCAAGTATTGAGCTTCATAAGAAGAATCTCAATATCTCAGTTCTCAATTTCGCGTTGAAAGAATCAATGGCCTATAAAAAAAAGAAAGGAAATCAAACACAATCTGAAAATGTCAAGGAAGTCGACTATGACTGTTTTTATATTTTGTTAAAGAGAAAGAGACAACATTCGCATTAAAGACTATAAATAACAAGTACATTTCTAGTTCAAAGATTCCACCCTAATATAAGTTATAGATGCATAAAGCCACAGTTACGTGATCACCATGGTTAAATATACTATATAACATAACACAACATAATACAGCATAACATTACATATGCACATAAATGTGTTTCAGCCTCGGCTAATAACAAAATCCGGATAGGCTCTTTTTGGTCAAGTCGTCCAGGAGCCATGACATATATAATTTCAGTAGTTTTGTTTGTGCGTGTTTTTCTATTCACCGTCCAAGACTCTGGTTAATATCAGCAAACCCTCTTTGGCCTAATTTATCAAACAGCAAATCGTTATTTGTAACACAAATGAAATAAAAACAGGCGCATCCAGTATCCGCCCCGCCCGCGTATGATCATGGAGCTAATGAAAACCATGAAATACCGTTAGATGGTCGCAGAAAAGTGTAACAAGCCCATATTTGTGGATGCGAGTTGGATGCGTGAAGCGATGTACATTGCTTCCTTGTGTGTTAGGATAAGGAAGCGACCACACGTTTTTTGGTCTTCGGCATTTGTGGTTACACCAAATGGTGAAACAATGTATTAAGATCGGCAGCAATGGGATTATTCACTTTGAGTTTTGAATGAATTGAGTTGATGTTTGGTATAAAAATAAATCACTTCGGTATTTCTGGCACATTCAACAGCGTTGCTTAGACAAGTGAAATTCATTGAAGGATTAATTGGAGACAGATAAAAGTCACTGATAATTTTTTAACTAAATCGCAGTGGTGTACAATTTATAGTGAAACATTTTGTGAGCGTGTTTTTCTTGGTAAAAAAAATATTCGAAAATGCAGTTAGCAACATTTTCAGTGAGTTCGAATGAAATTTATTGAAGTGTTTGATATTTTGTTAACATCTAACGGTATTTTAGAGCATCTTTTCGCTGCTCTGCTTCTGGGTCAATGGTTCGGCTGGGCAGTTCATTTTCGAAACCCCAAAGCACTTAACGCATTTGCAGCCTCCGCAGTATGCACCGCAATACGCAACGCATCAGCAGCAACAGGATAATCATATACAATCGCGTTCACCTTATGGCTTACCAACATCGCATATGATGCGCTCCCAACGTTCTCTGTACGGTGGCTGGGGGCCTGTAAGTGTTGGTCCTGTCGGCTATGGCAGCGTCGGTCCAGTTAGCTCTCTTGGCACTATTGGCATAACGAAAGAAGAGTTGCTAGCGCTGCTCGAAGCATGGAAGGAGGTTGAAAAGCCAGCACCTGAGCCTGCACCCGAGCCAGAGCCTGAGCCGGAACCCGAACCTGAACCAGAGCCCGAACCAGAGCCAGAACCAGAGCCGGAACCTGAACCAGAGCCCGAGCCTGCACCAGAACCGGAAGAGCCAGCACCTGCACCACCAGCTGGTGCTAAACCGCCACCACCCGGTGTTCCGCTAACTGTTTCTCTGCCAGCCTTCGTACCTATACAATTGTCTGCTATGTATACAGCTCCAGCACCACCGGCGCCACCAGCTGAAGGCGGTGGTGAGGTTGAAGCAGAACCAGAACCGGAACCAGAGCCAGAGCCAGAGCCAGAACCAGAGCCAGAACCTGAGCCAGAACCAGAGCCCGAACCTGAACCTGAAGAGGAACCCGAACCAGAACCTGTACCCGCACCGGTTTACGGCGGTTATGGACATGGTCATCATCGCTTTGTTTATCTTTCGCGTACACCGTTCAGGCGTGCAAAGCCGTTTGCAAGAAATCCATTTCTTCGGTAAGTTCGTTGCCGTGAAATTTATGTACACCCATTTGCGTCATAACTCTCCAGCTTATTCTAAACCAATACTGTTGTATTTTCTAGTGCGAATAAAGGTATTAAGCCCAGGTACGTTAGACTGTCTTCCTACTCTCCGTATTAATATTTGTAATTTCTTAATTATTTTGCCAGAACCTCAACAAAGTCAGGAGCACGAAAGTCTAAGAACAGCACTAAAAAGAATTCTAAAGCAAAATCCAAATCTTTGGCAAAGCCAAGAAACACTAAATTCTCAGCTATTCGCTTCCCTGTTTCAAATGCCAAGTACAGCTAAAGAAACTTTATCTATAAGAGCTCTCCTCACTAATTTCACTTATTTGCAGACAATTCGCCTCCAACAATTTCGTAGCGAACAAGCCAAGGTAAAACATAAAACTCTTTATGAAAACTTCTAAAAACCTTTTTTATTTCTTTTTTGTAGAAATTTGCGACTACCACACCGCGTGCGACCAAGGTTGTAGCAAACCAGTATAGCGGTATTTCTAAAAGATTTTCTAATTATTTTTTAACTTTAACAGAAGCTTCACGGCCTTGCCACCACCACCATTCCTCGCCAACCCACCAGCTCCTTTGAAGTTAGTGCCATCCTCTGAATTGTTAAGTAACTGGGCCTAGAGCTGTACTGGATCCTAAACACTAAGATATCAGTTAGACCCAATTGATAAAATATTCCTTATTCAACTTCATAAATAAAACATATATATACGGAACGATAAACTCTTTTCATTAAGAAAGGAACTCTATTAGTTTTAAAATATTCGATGCCTGCAAATAATTATCTTTTATTTATCTACCTTTCCTAAACTCAAGCAAATGATATTCAAAAAGCAAGGCGGGTTAATCTTAAAGTTAAGTAAACATTCAGAAAATTGTTTACTCAGCTAGGAACATACCAATTTCTTACCCAGCTAGGCAACTGCTATCTCGTATGTCACTGAAGATAGTCTGTATCGATTGTAATATATGTACATACAGAGGTTCTGCATAAACTTATAGGCTTAATCAGGCACGTACAAGTCTTAACACCAAAGCTAATACCTATTTACCTTTGTTTCTTGCGGAATCGCGGGGATTATTTGTCGAATAAAACTTGTTATATAAACCTGGTTACAGTCTTAACCTACAGCAAATAACTTTAGTATCAGAAGTTCAGATACCGACATACTAGCGCCGTGTTTTGATCCAAGAAAACAGGCGAAACAAGATTTCTGAAGCTTCCAAGATTTTCCTAATTCTTCATCTGAGTTGCAGACAAGATAATTTCTATGATACTCTCCTGGCGTAAGTATAAAGCTTTCACTGTAAGTGCCCAATTATCATATTTTGATAACTAACAACGCGGTCCCATTTATCTACCACATATTCTAAATACATTGTCATAATCGAATTGAGAACAATGTAATACTATGTTCCCATCAAAAATTGTAAGTGATTAGATTACATTTAATCTCTACACTAATCGAACCCGTTCTCTCAGTCGTTTGACAGATGATTCTCTTTGTTGTGCCTAAATCAGCTGTCATAACGTAATAGATTTCCAATGCTGACAAGTAGATGTTGCTAAAACAGAGTCCCACAGAGAGTTTTCGCATAGATTAGATTCAAATCACCTCGGAGATGAAATGCAGAACTGTCATTTTGATATGGCGAAACTTTGTTAAATTTATAAGATTAGATCGGAATAAACTACTCAACGCAATAAAGATTTGAAGGCTTAATTGATATACATATGTCTGGTACTTATTTTAGTGATGAGCCTCAGAAGACTCAGGCATGCGAGAATATAAATAGTGAGGAACCATGCCGATTGAACGTATAACGGTATACTCTTTATTCTACTAATACTCTCCTCTCTTAGAAGGCAAGTTACAATATATTTGAACCTTTGTGGAATAATGGAGCGTTACTTCACTGGAGAGGTCGGTATGATGAAGCGATTTTAGTTATTCGCAGCATTGCCTAATCTGCTCTTCAGCGAAAGACATAAAAAGGTTGAATGGATATATAACTACCGATTTTTAGGTAATGTTAAAGCTTTGAAAAAGCTTTTTACTTAATATAAGTGAAACCCACATTTAAAGTTTGATGGTGAGATACTAAAAACTATAACCGTATTAAGACACATGCGGCACCACCTCTGCTCCTAAGTACTTCGAAATCTGACTTTTGTGAAATCTGACTTTGGTCAAATAACCACACAACTGTTCGTGCATCACCACTCTGCTGCGTGGAATTACACCTTTCCAGAGTCGGCTGCGTTGTGCCATAAACCTAATTGAGACATTTTTATGCGCCGCTAGACGGACCACAGCAACGCACTCGGCACAATCGTAAAATGGTCAAAAGGATTGCCAGTGTCGTTTAAAATGACGCGCGTAAAAGGAAGTTAGTGCAGATTTGTTATTTCCCAGAAATGAATCGCCAAGACGATGCGGCAGACGAAGACGATAACTTACATATGACTTATGCTGACTGCGGCCGCTTGCGCAACGCGGTGCGTATTGGCCAAACGACGACGACAACAAGAACGACGGTGACGATGATGCAGACGAGGTGTACGACAACAAAACTAAATTCATTTGTAATTCAAAATTGTTCAACGACGGCAATTGCTGCCGCGCTTTCGTCGACTATTTTGCAATATTCGCTTTTTCGCTCTGCTTTGCGGGCATGCGCGACACTCCATGTGACACTCAATTATGAGTTTGCAGCGCGCGAAACGCCACTGTCTACGCGCCGGCCATTTCTGCTTTTGTGCGACTTTTTCGGTTCATTTGTTGGTACCATGCTGCGTTGTCATAAATCAAAAAGCTCTTTACGCTGCGCCGCCAAACGCTCGGCTAAGGTGATCATAGGAGAGTGCCTTCGCCGGCCGCCTTCAGGTCGCTAGACGACAATGTGTAATGTAAATATTACACATATATTTAAGTATGTTTGCATGTAGATAGGTGCATAGTTGAGGTAGGTTTGTAATATTTGGGTCAAAATGCAGGTTACATTTTGTAATCACCCTTTTTGGTGCTTTTAATGTTCGGTCGCACAGGCAAACGCGCTTTTTGAAACAATAGTTCCCATGGCTGGTGGTTCAAAGCGCACTTTGTTTTGCGGCTAAAGGGATGGTGATTATCGGCGAATCGTCGTTTGGATCAATTTTTGGTCAATAATATTAAATTTTCCTTCTTGGGACACGCACTTTGTGGTGGCACTTTATTTTCGAAAGATTTATGCTTAACCGAAAATTAAATTGCTTTTAATGTAAAAAATCAATTTCTTGTGCAGAATAAGTAATATAATCTTATATATCCAATACTACATTAGCGGACTTAATGTAATGTCTTACAAATTTTCTTCATATTTGATATTTGGTTTCTACTTACATATATTTAGAAGGCAGTGCTGGCTCCAGTGTCTCACACCCAATATTTTAACTGAATCCAGTTTAAGCTTTCGCAATTGATAAAAACGACGAAGTGAAGTCGTATAAGCGCGGTAACCGTGCCATTAGATTACGCAGTTTTCAAGTTGTTTAATCTCTTGTGAAGCTTCGATCGAGCTGAGGTCCTACAGATTATATTGTTATCGGTAGATGACAAGAACTATTGAAGGTAATACGAATATTGCTATTGCAAGAAGCCTAAACTATTAATATGAATGGGAATCAAAGATTAAATTTTTTTTTGCCATCAAGCAAATATTATCAAAGCTCTTTAAGTTTTAGGTAATTGAAACCTAAATACAGTTTTTATATTTTAGTATTACAAATAGGGACAATTAAATATAATTTGGATGGGCCGTGGGCTGAAGACCTTCGCAATTTGATGTACACTCTTTGTTGGACCTACTCTTTTGCATCGTATATGTTCCCACCAAGCTTTATATTAGGCATGCATATTTCCATTTTCTTTCCTTTTTCATCCGCCTGTCCATGGCTTGATATTAAAAATTTTATATTTAAAATCGCCGCTATAGAAAACAATACCATGTTGAATCCACGCACGGCCCTCTGAGCTTAAGTAATCATCCGACTGAATTGTAAAAAGATCTACACATATGTGTCTCTCCTAGTCTACTGTCATGAGTGTGGCTCTGGAACTTTTATCTAGTTCACTCTATGTGCTTTTGCTTTGATATTTCCATGCCAACATTTAAATGTCACATAAATTCCACGCGTGCGCACGCTTTGGTATGCCGTGATTACTGCCAAACATAGACGTCCAGCTTCCAGTGCAAGGCGCAGTCACAGCAGCATCAAGTGCACCAACAGCGCCCACTTGTACACCAATTTCGAAGTTGGTTCGTTAAAACCAACGCGGCGGGTACTAGTATTACCTTGACTGCCAACTTTTATGATTTTTTTCCATCATGCCACGTTTACTTTTCCCGTTTGGTGCTGCGCCTATTTCTTTCCACTGTAGAGAGGAGTAATTTGGCTGGCGACAAAAAGTTTGTCTAAGAAATGTGTGGTCGAGAGTTCCGGTGAGTATTAGCAGAACTTCATTACTAATTGAGCCACCATGGAATATTTAAACGTACCCATAGATAAATAATGAAAACTCACTCGAGGTTATTATTGCCTCCTACCATTTGGCGGTGATCAAATTTTAGGAGTAGGCTTTATGCCGAGGATCGAGAATATTCAGCCTCTAAGTGGGGCTTCTTGAGGTTCTAAGTGCAGCGAGGATTCTTTTGCTACTTTGTCAAGTGAAGACGCTGCCAAGTGTATGTTTTTCTTAATGAGAATTATCTGTAGCTTCTCTGCAGTATTATGTACATATTTCTACTCTCTCTGTTTATGTCTACATTTGAAGGGTATATCCAGTCATTTTTTCTTGCTGTCGTCACCAAATTAGAAAGGACTTTTTTCATATTGTTGGAATATTTTGCATATGTAAGTGGAATCAAGGATGGTTTCGCTATCTGGATAATGCCATTAGGAGCAAGTTCATGACTTATAATCTTTATAAAATAGAATGTCCTTCAAAATTTGCGATCTTTGCCCGCGTAAATTGCGATATTTCCAACCAATGTGTTTTTGCTGATCACATTTGAGTTCTTATGCCGTCTCAGGAGTACATACCTTCAGACGAAATTTCAACTCGGGATAAAAAGTTGGAGGTGACATTAAACGTGGAGCTAAACTATAAGTAACTAAACCAAGGAACCCCATATAAATATATTGTTAAGTGAGCTCCCTAGCCATTTTGTCTATCGAAAACACTGTCAAGTCAAGTTTTCCATACTGGGGAATATATCATCAAGTAAGTTAATTTAGACTTGGCCTCTAAGCATAATATATGAATGTGCTTGTAGTGCCATGCAAGGGTCATAAAGGCGATTTTTATATCCTGAACAGGGTATGTTAAGTTTGTCACGAAGTTTGTAACACCCAAAAGGAAGAGTCGGAGACCATGTAAATTATATAACATATGGCTACAAACTGAACATTCGGAATCAAGTTCTTGCATGGGAAACTTCCTCATTTGACGATATATCTCCACGAAATTTGGTATGAGTTATTGTTCATAGAAATAATGTAATATCGGAAGAAATTGTTGAGATCGGAAAACTATAGCAAAAAGCTGCCATACAAACCGAACGATCGTAATCAAGGGCTT